CTTCTCCTCGCTTTTCGGCACAGTAGCGTTTGACGAGGGAGCTATTAACCTTTGCAGCAAGGGCTTTAAGTTCAAACCACCTCCTTCACTACCCTCCGTATGCCTCTCCCCACACAGAAGCACGATGCGAGGATGGATTTGGCTGCATGGGATCGATGTAAATGTCTCCTCAGGCCTCTCTCTACCTTGGGCTATGCTACCAAGTCTCCTTCATCTTCTCCCGGAGAACCGGGTGAAGGCGCAGGGTTCCTGGGGCTTGAACTGGCTCCCCCGCTCCGAGCGCAGCGGGAGCAAAAGCTGCCTCCGAGGGGGGCTGGCTCGAGGCCGAGCCCAGGGCAGCGCTGCCGTGCTCTGGCCCGTGTCACCCTCCGTCAGGGGAAGAAGGGGATCGAACCAGACACCCACAAGCTTAGGGGGACTTCTGCCCGTCCCTTGCTCCGACGGCCAGCACGGGACTGTAGGAGAAAGGGAAGAAAAAGTCAGTTCAGGGAACTTAATTATTTGTCAGAGGAAAGAGATGTTCCCACTCCATGCAGGCTCCTTGGACTGGGCGTGAGCAGGGGAGGCCCCTCCGGGATTTTCTGCCAGACAAGGGGGGCTGCGGAGCGGGAGCTCCCAGACAGGGAGGGCAGGGTCGGGCCCGGGAGGGAGAAGCTGGAAGGGCAATGGGGATACGCACAGACACACAGAGGGTCGCGTTCGCCCCTCGCATCCCCACAGCGGTGCGTGGAGGTGTCGCGCTGCCCTGTGCGCAGACGGGCCCCGGGAGGCCGGAGGGCAGCCCAGCCCGGCGGGCCGCCCCGTCTAACGCCGAGCTCCCCGAGGGCGGCCCGGACCCTGCAGGGATCCGGCCGGGCTGTGCAGGCACAGGAGGGGGTGTCCCCAACCCCACGCCCCCAGAAAACTGGGGAATAGGAAAGCCGGAGTGCTTGCTCAAATTAGGATGCGCCTGTGGGCTACGGTGGGCAGCGCTTGTGGGGAGCAGGTCAGTAACACGAGTGGCCAGGGAAAACGTGGGGAAAGGCAGGAAGGGATGAAACCATTCGCAGACTCCTTGCGGAGCTGGGGTGTGTTGTCATCTTTGTTTTGGTTGTGTTGTTTTGTTTTGCAGGAGATTGGGACAATAGCTGGAGTGGATTATTCATTCCCGTAGGCAATACTTCCCTGTATGGGCTTCAGGATGCAGTTGGAAGCTTGGGAACAAAGCGGGCGTCGAATGTCAAGGTAACTGGTCCCCTTCCTTTGTTTATGCTATTGTTAATGACGGGGCTCACTCAGCCCTGGCCTCAGCCGTGCTGTATGGCATTAATATTGACTTGAGAGAATAGGCAGGGCAATTAAAAACCAAACCCAGAACAACAGCAGCACCCAGCCCAAGCCCAGTTCTTCAGGTGAAACATGCCTCTTCTGGGCTACTGAGAATGATATAGTAGCCTTGCCTGGTATTCACAGAAACACACACACACACACTGTTCATAAAACAAAACGCATCCCTATACAGCATTTACACGTAGGGGAGACACTGTAACCCTGTCCTTCAGTACCAAATCAAAAGGGAAAGGGCATTATTTTCAAATATCCACATATTAGCATAAGGGGATTCTCATCAGGATAAAAAAAAATAAAGAAACTAATAAAATTATTCTTTTAATTATGATAATCTAAAAGTAGCAGAAACCTGAGCATTTATTGACTAATTTTCTTCTTCTCAAGGTAGTGGATGGTATTTAAAGTTCAACATTTCGCACAGCTCCTTGTTTAGTTTAATTTCCTTGACAATCTAGGCAATTTCAGCAAACTGAGTTAAAAATTTTGGTACACATCTGAGTATGGATCTGCATAAAATAGAAAAGGTGAGAGAACTGGGGAGAGATGTGTTATTATTTTAAGAAGAGAAGGGAGTGCATGTTTGCATGCGTGTGTGGATGCATATGTGTGAGAGTGAGAAACAAACGGAGAAATTTGCACCTTACATTTGATCTGTAGCTTTAATGTGGACTCTGAAACAAATATCTATTAGATTTCTCTGAAAAATTCCCCACTAAGGCAGACAGACCCCTGTTTTGAATGAGAGCTCCAGGTGATGAAAGAAATGTATGATTTTCCAGAACAATTCTTTATCAACTCTTTTTTTTTTTTTTTTTTTTTTTTTTTTTTTTTTTTTTTTTTGTAGAAAGATTAATTTAATCTCTCCTATCCTGGGCCCATTTTCTGCCAGTGAAGGGATATAATAATGATCAATGCCCAGCACTTCTCATATCTTTTGTACCTGGCAAATATTTGTAATGTTTTGAATGTGGAGGGGAGGTGAAGAGATGAGACCAATCTCATCCTCAGAGTATCCTCATGAACACTCACACAGAGGGAGGAAAAATCCAAACAACGAAGCCAACCTGTTCAGAAAGAGCCTCCTGCCCAAAACTCTACAGTCATGCAGCTAGTTTTTGTATTTTATCTGCCTGCTTGATGGAAGGGTCTACATACATCAGGCTATCTGGATTTATGCAACCAGCTCCGGGTGTACATTAGTACTCCAGTTGAAAATGGGACCTGGAGTTGTTGAGCAAACAGTTCCTGCTTGACTGTAGTGTAGACTGAATGCTGTCTAGTCAGCTGTACGGAGCGGTGTCAGGGAAGTAGCTCCAAGTATTTCCAAAACTAATAACAAAAAGGTTACTATATATAAAATGTTTATACAGCCCACATTCCCTCGAGTTGTTTAATTTTCAGTTTGATGCACATAAATATAGCAGACATACCCGGTCTCCCATTAGCCAGTCCCTGCTTTTTAAAATCAATTCATTTCAGTTTGAAAGAATGGCCCCTTGCGCAAGACAGTCAACAACCCTTTGACTTTCTCCACTCCATGTGGACCTCAGGAAGAAATAGCATCTGTCTTTGTCATTTCACGTGCGTATCGCAGTGCCTTGACACTGTGTTTTAAGAGCAGGCCTACTACCAGGGAGGGTAACAGTCCCCAGCTTGTTCCCCCTTTCTAATCCATTTTTCTCCTTCTCATCTTAGGCTTCTTTTGAGGAAGAAATAGCTCTGCTGGGACCCCATGCCTGGACTTTGGAGGGCATGGCGCAGTGCTCTGATATGAAAGCACTGTCCCTGCAGATGGAAACTCTCCTCTGTATCCTGTGCCTTGCAAGACAGGCAGCGAGGGGACATTGAAGTAACCAAGCATCTGGCATCAAGCCTGACAATCCACTTCACACTATGTGAAGGAAAGTTTGTTCCAAACCACATACTTTCTGGTGCTCAGCACTGGTGTCAAACTGGTTTGAACTGTCCCAAGTCTAAAATAAAGATCTCCATTGTGGTATGCCAGTGAGCTTGTCTTGCTAAACCTTCCCTGTTTATGTTGAAGGTACAGAGCTCATGTAATGCTGTCTTTTCACCCAGGGATGGGTGCAATAGGAACAATTCAGAAAAGTTCTGTTTAGCTTTTTCCCCCTTAAAGCTGAAAAAATGCAAGCTATCAGAAACAAGCCTATGTTTGAAGGTACAGTTTTCAACATGTGAGTGGGAAACATATCTACTGGCAGTATTCAACAACTCTGCAAGGGCTGTGCTCGAATTTTGGCTTTTAATCTCAGCTTTGTTAGAGAGAGAAATGCAAAATGGAATGGAACCTGATTATTTGTGCTGTAGCCTTGTGATGCTCATCCTATAACTGTTGGGGAGAGAAGCAAAACACTCTGCTAAAGCTTTGGGTGAGCCTGAGTTTCAGGGGGACTCTAGTCTTCACAGGTTCTCACTTCACTGCCTTTCTTCCTTTAGTATTTGTTATATGGGATTTTTTTTTTTTTGTCTGCCTTTCAAAGTGAGTACAGACTCAATCCTGCTGAGAGAGAGCACTCCCTCCATCACAAGCTCACATTTGGAAAATGCCTATCCACTTTGACTGCCCCCCTTCAAGTCATCGTCCCCCTTTCAGGGGAGAAAAAAAAAAACCTTAAAAGAGAAAGAGAGAAGCGGGGGTGGAGGGAAGGGGGAGAACCCCTGATTCCTCAGTGACCTGCACAGCTCGGACAGACGTCCAAGATCCCCTCTGCCTCCTGCAGACAAGCCCCGACAGAGGGAAAAACCCCACATGCCTGAACTTTTAACGTGGCTTGGGGTTTATACAATTCAGGCTCAATTTTTTTTTTTT